TGTTTGCTTCATCAGAACTTATGTTTCCATCTCTCATTTAGCACAGAAACTCTTACACTGAAAATCCAAAAAACAACCTAAAGACTTTTTTGCAAAATTGAGGAAGTTATTTTGAATTTTCCCATTTCCATCAACCTTTTCTAATGTAATTCTTCAAAATACACATGAAAAAATGTTGAAGCAAAGTTAATTTGTAGACAAAACAAGCCAGTTCCTATAATAAATTAACCTTAAACAGGACTTTATCACTTACTTCATCTTTGAATATACATTTGATCTGATTGGTGAATAGTTACCACAAGTCAAGAGATAAATTACCAAGAAACAAGTCTCTGAAGTGATTCCACACCCACTCATCCCATAAATACAGTTCAGAGGGATTCCACTGGCTACAATCATTTCCTCTCATGACTGATAAGTTGGAGATAAAACGCCGACAGAAACAAAGGCAGGTTTGCAGTGCCGAGTAAACACAACGTCAACTCAGAGTAACTCAGAGTAACAGAGTTGTCAAGTGAAAGAAAAGCAGCATCATCCTGTGGGAGGCTTTTCTGTAAGAGATTTTTATTTGCAAAGATTTTTCAGAAAACTATAATTTTTCCTCCACTTCTAAATCATGCAGTAGTTGTTACTGTGTTGCTCTATCTCGTGTGAATTCATATAAATAGCATTAAAGCTTAATGCAACTTATTGAGCTTACATTACTTTATTTTCCCCATTTCCGATTTTTTTCATGGCAGTCTGAGCCGCGGTTATTATAATTAACTAAAACAAACAAAATAACGAAGCAGAAATTGAGAAAACACTTTCATTAACTGGAATACATAAAAACAGCAGTTAATGGGGAAACAATTATAACTAAATGCGTTTATAAAACTAAAACATACTGATATAATATTCTTCCTTTTTGTTTTTATTAATCTATTTATTAACCTTTCAAACTGATGTGAAATTTCTTTATTTTTCCCCACACAAACAGTTTACCTCGGCACTACATGCTCCGAACTCACAGCTATGCTAAGCTAGGCTACGCTACGCTAGTTCTCAAAGTGCCGACTTTAAATTTTGGAGAAAACCCCAGTCTGTTGGTTGTTCAAAAAAAAAAATATATATATATATATATATATATATACACTTTTTAAGTAATATCTTCTGTTGAGTATTATTGCCCAATCATAGTCACAATATAACACTTTTTGCACCTAAAAATTAACCATGAAAAAACTAAAGCTATTACTAAAATAAAAGGTAACCTAAAATCTGTTTTCCTGTTTGTTCTGGTACTTTTCATGCAACGCACTAAAGTCTGCACAGTTCAGGTCAAGATGCAATACTTAAAACTTTTGCCTTTTGGATGTAACTGGTTTTAAAAAATAGTGACAAGGACCAGAAATCCTGACATGAAACTTTCATAGTTTAATTAAAGCAATTTGAACAAATTTGATTGTTTGAAAAGCATCTTCTGCAGTAAATTTGGTAAATTCAGCTAGCTAAAATGTCAGCTAATATGCTCAAACAGTAAATATCCCTCACTATGGGGACATTTTTAAAAAATGAATTCCCCAACTTCAGCTGCAGTGTCGCTGTATACTTTTTGTTGACATACTTTTTTTTATTTTATCTTTATTGATTCTCAAGGAAGTATCATTTACATGACCTTAGGCCTCTACATCACAAAACTAACTTCAACATTTGAAATAAGGCGGACAAGTAAACCATTACATTATAACGGTCAACTTCACTTCCCTGAGAAAGATTATATTGCAGGGAGCAAAAGAGACGGTGAAAGAAAAAACAAAAGAAAATACAAAATTAAGTTAGAAATGTTAAAAGCAAACCACAAAAAAAAGAATACAGCAACAAAAAACATAAATAATTATGAAGTATGTCTATCAAAGGAGACAGACATACTCCTATGTCTATTTTGATGAAACCTGAAACCTCCTGGATTATCCAGGAGGTTTCACCAAGTTTGGTCTCTAAAAATGAAATCAGATCTTCTAAGTTTTACACATTGTACCCAAATCTGCCACCACTGACAGAACTGAGGCTGTTATTTTTTCCATTTCATTCATGTTGAATGTATGTTGTTGACATACTTTCATCTGGAAATTTTAGAAAACTTTCCCTGAACTGACAGAGTGAAGTCCAAGGAACACGGGTCCAAAAGTCAACCTGTGGTTGTGTATTAGTAAATGTTTTCCATCCCTTTATGTTCTGCTGGTAGTGATGGCAATAAGTACCACAGTACTATTCCACAACAATCTGACCCAGGTGGTCAGGATTAGTTTACATATTGTGGTCATAAAGTACCTCAGTTTTAATAAAATAACATATAAAACATATAAAAGAGTTATTCAAGTGAAGTGAACTTTATATTTCCTGATAAGATTTTTTTATTACTGACAACTTGACCAGAAATAATTTACTTTCTTTAATTGTGATGATGGAAGGGGGGTAAGCTCTTTAAATTTAGGAAATAATAATAGAAAATGTAACATTTAATAGATGTTATTAAGTACACAGCGGAAAGACTTAAATATTTCCATAAATGCCAAACCTTCAGAGCTCGGCAAGTGAACCTTTTGTTTACGACATTTACACTCAAAGAATCCATCTTATTTGATTTACATCGTTTCATTTAAAGCAAACTCATTTTCTTTGTTGCTCCAGCTGAAAAACAAGTTCATGAAGAAGCTGCCGAGAGACGCGGAGGCCTCCAACGTCCTGGTGGGGGAGGTGGACTTCCTGGACGCCCCGTTTGTGGCGTTTGTTCGTCTGCAGCAAGCCGTGATGCTGGGAGCGTTGACCGAAGTTCCCGTTCCCACAAGGTAGCCGACATGCAACAATTAACTCTGAAATATAATTATAACTTTATTTTCACATTAATTCTACATTTCAGTTTTAATTTCAGTCAAGCAATCAGAAACCAGACAGAAGCTTTTAATTATAAAATGTTTTCTCCTTCATTGATTTAGTGCACGGGTGTCCAAAACGTTTTGCAACAGTTTTGGACTTTTTTAGGGAAAAAAACTATTTTTTTCCACTGAGGGGAAAAAAGTATTCTGACTAAATCTGATTTATGATCCCAGAAGATTAAAGTCAGAATTTTGAAGGAAAAAGTCAAAATTCAGAGAAAAAAAAGGTTAAAACTCTCAGATTAATGTCAGAATTCAATGAGAAAAAAGTGCAAAAATAATTCTGTTATCAAAACAAACACAAAATATTGAAATGAAAAACACTTGGATCTGTAAATCATTTTCGATGGATTATGAGAACATGATCCAAGTTTCTTTTAATTATATATAGTTTTTTAATTTAAGTCCTTTTTAGCCTCATTTAATTAATGGGTTCACCCCAGTTCTACTTTTGAGTAAAAGTTACTGGATGTTTGTGATGCTATGCAGTATCAAAGTAAAATGAACGCAAAAAATGTGGTTAATAAGAGATGAATAATTTGTGTTGTTGCTCAAGTTTTCCATTTTAAGATGACTACATCATTTTTTTAATCAGTAAATATTTTATTAATTTGTTTTATGGATATTACCCCCAACAGTCTGGTAAAAATAAATCTGTGCTAGACTTTAATCGTGGACAAGGGCCGCACAGAATCATTCTCAGAGCCGCAGACGGCCCCCGCGCCACACTTTGGACACCCCTGATTAATTCTCTGCTTTGCTTCTCTTTGTAGGTTTTTGTTCATCCTGCTTGGACCCAAAGGCAAAGCAAAGTCATATCATGAGATTGGCAGAGCAATCGCCACCCTGATGTCTGATGAGGTTAGACTGGCTCATAAATCCACTGAAATTATACTTCAGTTATACTTCTTATGTGGTACAAAAGTATCAAATGATCTGGGAGATCGCAGCTCAAAGATGTGCATTGTTGCTTGAAATTCACTCTGATTAGTAGTTGCCTTCTTCTTTCACAAACTTGATTTTTACTACAGGTAAGATACTGACAACTGCTGACTAACTCGCAGAACCCCCTTTGAAAAAAGCCAAACTGTCCCTTTGAAGCAATACATTTCTTGTAAACTTTGAAAAAACTCCGATAGGTCTGCACTTTTATTCCTTTCTTCTGAAAACAGAAAATATTTAGACTTTTATTTAGAATTATTTGGCCTTAGTTATTTGCCAAATGCTGTTTACTGCATTAATTGCAAGGCAAACAAATAAAATAAACTCAAAGACCCCTGAGGAAAGCATTTGAGTTGATTAAAGTGATAAAACGGCGTTGCTCTCCACAGTTTTTGGGTTGATTAGATGGGATTAGTTGTTTATTTAGTGTTTGCAAGTCGCTGCTCTCTTTCCCTATTTAGTAATCCTCAGATCTGCTATCACAGTTCACTGGAGCCACATGCTTTCCTGTCACACGTTTTCCGCTCCAATACGTCTGTGTGTTTGTTCGCAGGTCTTTCATGACATTGCCTACAAGGCGAAGGACAGGCAGGACCTGCTGGCCGGGATCGATGAGTTCCTGGACGAGGTGATCGTTCTTCCTCCTGGAGAGTGGGACCCGACCATCAGGATAGAGCCTCCCAAATCGCTGCCGTCCTCTGACAAAAGGTCAAAAATGCAGGAAATCACAAAATCTTTAGAGTATTTTTGGTACCCAGCTTATGTTGCATATAATATCATTTTATAAACAAACAGATTTATGTTTCATTTAGAATGCCTAGCAAGGGAATTTATTAGTGGTGAGAATCTTTTACTATTCTCACGGTTTGATTTAGAGTGATTATTCGTAATAATTTCTGCTTTAATCTATAGGTGTGTAAAGAATACTTGTGATTTACTGCAATCAGAATGAGAAATGAGACATTAAAACGACATTTTAAATATTAATCAAGCTTTTTTTTTACTTTTAATCCCTCTTTGCATCCTTTATTTTGTCTTTACAAAGTGTTTTATTTCTGCATAAGGCAATAGAACCATATTACCATATTATATTAAATTGCATTTTCATAGCAAATGTAGGTAACACACTTATTGGAAAATACATAATAAGCCCTTTTCAAAGTGGATCTTTTACCTAAAATTCATATATTGGATGTTTTCATTCTTCCATATGGATATCAAATGCTTAGTTTTTCTTTTTGTTTTAAATAACACCCAGCCTTTTGTTGGCAATACGTTTATGTTTTTTGGTGTCTGGAAAATGAGCCTTCTCAAAAACCTTCGGAGTGTTACATCACAAATCAGCAGACACTGCCCGTCACCTAGCAACCCCAGGGAAGCCCAGCCCTGTTACCTAGCAACCCAAGCCGAGCTCCAGCATGATAGGTCAGCTAATTATACCGCTGTACAATGGCTGCTGGAAAAGACATACCATCCAGAAACCACTTGTTGCATTCTTGTTGGTTGTGCAGGAGGCTCCACTTCTGACATTCAGAGATGTACGGGAGTACAAACCTGCATTCGCTTGCATTCTTATTCTCATATGTAAACTTTGAGCAGGGGGCATGGCTAGCACCAGCTTATTTGGCTTTAAAGTCACAATTAAATCAGGCTGAAATCTCAATATATAAGAATGATTTTGTGCAAAAAATGTAATGAACATGTTGTGAAGACCATAGACCTATGCTAACCTGCTCAAGGAAGCATAGCACATCCTCAGAATGCTGTGTGAGCATGACAGACTGCAGAATCACCCAAACGCATCCAGCTGCACAACACAGTGTTTAATTATGAAACTGCCACAGTTCGTATTATATAAACCTGCAGTCAGCACTGATCTATCAGGCTATTTAATCACCTAATGGATCAGCATCATCCGACTGGAAACAGGAACCAAGTAGGTGACATCATGACGGGAAAGGTAGCAGTTAAATCAGGTTGTGTGAGCAGCTTCAGTGGGCCAAACGTTGACCTAAATCAAATAAATAATTCCAGGCGGCTTTGTGTTGATCAGATGTCACAGCAGCAACTGAAGAAACTTATTTCCGTTTCAGGAAAAACATGTACGCAGGAGGGGATTCTCAGATGAACGGAGACATGCCGCATGGTGGCGGTCATGGAGATGGAGGCGGGCACGCTACAGGGGAGGAGCTGAAGAAGACAGGAAGGTATAAAATAAACTGTTCTATATGGATGACGTTTTATTTATTGGATTGTACACTGCAAAAACACAAAATCTTACCGAGTGTTTTAGTTTCTACTGCAAATATCTTAGTAAACTCGAAATAAGACTAAACTAACTTATAAGAAACTTTTCAGCAAAATATAGCAGCTTGTTTTAAGTCAGTAATTCCTAACAATCAAGAAAAGGTTTTTGTTTCAATGGCAGATTATTTTACTTATGAGAAAAATGTCTTGTTATAAGTGAATTAGACATTTCCCCATGTTTTTAGTGAAGTCATTTGTACTTTTTCATCAATATTAAGGCTTTATTGGCTTAAAACAGGTTTCTATGTGTTACTAGTTACTAGTAAATTAGTTTTCTTATTTTAAATGTAGTAAGATATTTGCAGCAGAAACTAGACTAAAATACTTGGTAAGATTTTGTGTTTTTTCAGTGTAATTAAGAATCTCATCCCGTTATTAAGTCAGTTGTTTTGCCGTCAGGTTTTGTGGTGGTCTCCTTCTTGACATCAAGAGAAAGGCGCCTTTCTTTATCAGTGACTTCACCGACGCGCTTCACATTCAGGTCCTGTCGACCATTTTGTTTATTTACTTGGGAACTGTGACGAATGCCATCACCTTCGGTGGTCTGCTGGGGGACGCTACAGAAAACATGCAGGTCAGAGCGGGTTTTTAACCAAAGTGTGTCAGCCAAACTGTCGGATTTCCTGTTTTTAACCCTCCCTCTCCATGTTTGCAGGGTGTGCTGGAGAGTTTTCTGGGCACTGCCATCACCGGAGGTGTTTTCTGCTTGTTGGGGGGTCAGCCTCTCATTATTCTGAGCAGCACCGGTCCGGTTCTGGTGTTTGAAAGGCTTCTCTTTAACTTCAGCAGGTAAGTTTGGCATCTTCTCAGTATAACTCTAAATTAGAGTTTTAATAAATATGAAAAAGATGTTAACTGTTAGCCTTGCTAAGAAAGTTTTGTAGTTTACTGTCTTGAAATTACACAAAGTAAATCAAATTTACCTTCATCTTGTTGGAAAGAAACTTCAACTTAGAGGCCTAAACATAAACGAAAACTCACCAAACTTTACCTTTAATTGTCCCCTGGTTTAAATTTTAGCAGTTTTGATTGAATTAAAAATGGCTGTGACCAAACAGCTCTACAGCGCCCCCTAAAGTGAGAGAGGCCAACTGGTAAATAGTACGGAGCTGAAATTTGGGACGTACATAGAACCCTGTGAAACAATAAGAAAAAGTGTCTTGGAGGCATTTTCTAAACCAAACAGGAAGTCAGCCATTTTGGGTCAAAAGGTAATTTTTGCACTTTTTTACCTTCATGATTTAGTACTAATTACATTTATTAAATAAAAATGTTCCAATATGGAAGAAATATTGCTATGATACACAAAGACACGTTGCCATAGCAACTGATAACAACTCCACTCTGTGTATCAGGATTCAACCCAAAAAACACTCAAACATTTCCCACACAAAGAACAGAACATTCATGTTTATTTTGTGATCATTAATTAGTCATCGCTGTGGTAGATTAGCTGTAATCTACCACAGATTAGTGTAAACTAATCTACCAATTCCTTTCCCTCGATATTTTTTTAAATTAAAACTTTTTCTGACCTTGTTATAGATTAGCTATCAGCTAATCTACCACTGCAGTGACTGATTAGCTACCGCTGCTATCAGCTAATGTAACACTGCATTGACTGATTAGCTACCGCTGCTATCAGCTAATCTACCACTGCAGTGGCTGATTAGCTGATGATCTGTCAGAGTTGTTGTTTAGGTCATCTTTTTTAAAATTTTGTAACTGAACCAAAATGCACAGAATTCCACAGCACGTTAAGATTGTCAAAGTCAAGCTAGCATAGCTAACCTACTTTCCTTTCCCTCGATATTTTTTTTAAATTAAAACTTTTTCTGACCTTGTTATCTAGTTGTAGTGTTGGCAGTTAGTACCAAAGCACTGCGTCCCTTTTTGTTTTATATATCATGCGGACATTTAAGATTTAGTGCATTATATAGCCAACTTAGCAGCTAAGACCAATGCTAGTCATCGTTAGCGAGGAGCTTTTTGCTGGGGAAATGGGAGCGGGATCTCCATGTCATGAACTTCTCTGGTTTTGACGGTGTTTTGTGTCCTTTTTCTACGTAGGGATAACAATTTCGACTACATGGAGTTCCGGCTGTGGATCGGCCTGTGGTCGGCGTTCTTCTGCCTGGTGCTCGTTGCCACTGACGCCAGCTTCCTGGTGAAGTACTTCACCCGCTTCACGGAGGAGGGCTTCTCTTGTCTCATCAGCTTCATCTTCATCTACGATGCCTTCAAGAAGATGATCAAATTAGCTCACCACTACCCCATCAACTCGGTGTACAACATGGAAAACATCACGCAGTACGAATGTCTCTGCATGGGCCCCACGCTCTTAGGTGAGCCGTCCGTTTCATCTTAAGACTTTGCATCAGAAGAATTTCACTCACAGGAAATAAAAATACAGATTTTGGGCCTTTTTGGTGCTTTACTTTTTTTTTTAAATGTCAGTAAATTTGGCCCCACCACTGTCTTCAAATTACCGTATTTTCCGCACTA